TGAGCACAAAACTTTATTAATAATTCACAACATTTGGCTAATAATTTACAAAATACAACTTATTATTTATAGAATGCTACCCCTAATTTATAGAATAATTTCTCTGTTTTACTGAATAACAACTTACAAAACAATAATTCAAATTAAAAAAATATTACCCCTGATTTACAATATGATATAGTTTATTTACAAAATGATAACTTTAGTTAGCAAATTACCGGATTTTACTAAAATGGTTATACATCTTATCCAGGAATACTATCATTGTTTGAGCAAATTATTTCGATTCATAATATATTGTTTCTGGTTCAAAATAAAATTCCTCTTATTTACGAAATATATATGTCAATTTGTTAAATACATCCTTTAGCTTAAAAAATATTATTGTACATTTAGAAGATTTACACCATAGCTTTAGAAAATACCTCAAATAGTTCATTTAAAAAAAGGCATATATGTTTTTTTATATATTTTATATACAAATTCTTATATTTTTAGTAAATAATATAAACATTTACAACACTTTATTTTGATGCATTTTTCAAATTCTTAGAAAAAATCTAGCAATGAACGATATGAAAAAAAAAAAATTTAAAAGAAAACATAGGGAGAAATTATCTAAAAATGGAATAAAAAAGAAATCCAATATACATAATGATAAAAAAAAAAGGATTTAAATATGGTTAATTTAAGTAATTCACGTTTTTTTTCTAAATTGAAAGCTAAAAAGAGAAAAATAACAAAGACTGTTATAAATATTACTTTATTGCTAATTTAAAACTCTTCTAAAAATAAATATAACTTTTTTCCTATAATTATTTGTATAAGTAATGCATTTATAATTATAAAAGAAAAACGAAATAACTTTTTTATACATTATAATTCAAGAATAAATAGCTAGAAAATTTTATAAAGATAACATTTAATGGAGTTGATAGAAAAACTTTAGAAAATTTAGAATTATGTATGCATTTTTTAAACTAAAAACATAAACAAACAATAATAATGGCATTTAAAAAAAAAAATAAAACTATTATAATTAAATTTTAAGTTATTATCATATAAAAAAAAAATAAAATAAAATAAAATATATGTATATATTTTTTTTTAGTGTACATGTTTATATAAGCACATATGCCCAGTATATTATCAAACACAGAGAAAAATGTTTTTACTCATTTTATTCATTTAAATATTACTGAAAACATATATGTAATGCTATTTATAGACTAATAATAAATTGATTTAATGAGGATTTAAATTTTCAATAAAAATGAGAACAAATTTTTATTAAAGTTAGTAAATGACTTTAAAAATAATAAATGTTCAATTAAATAAACTATATGTGTGTAGTTTACTTATATGTAGTATCCATACAATTTTACAGTTAAAATCCTTAAAGATTTCTCAAAATTCCCTTTTAATTTTTTTGCTCAATATTTGATTTATTAATAGACTATTCAAGCAATTTCATGGTACTTTAAATAGTCATATTAATAAAGAGCATATAGAGAGACCTCTTCCTATCTTATATATCATAAAATTAATTTAAATTGATAATTATATAAAGGAAATATAATTATTTATTTATAATAAATTTAACATATATATTATATACTCCGTAGTTTTCATGAGACTGCATAAAAGAAATTATCACTACAACACTCTCCAAAAAAAAAAAAAAATAAAAAATGCAGACTTAATTTTTTTCTATAATTTTTTTACTAATATATTTATATTTTATAAACACACCTTTATCAAATTTCAGAAGGCATTTATTTTCTTGTGGTAGTTTTTCAATGAATACTAAATATTGTTGTGTCTTCACATATATCTCCTATACGTACATGTCTTTTAATTGTCTTGCAGGCGCACGCAATACCTTAAAATAAGCAACTAACATTAAATAAAATCTTGAAAAAGTTAATGAAATCTTTTATATATCGATATCCTAAAAAAAAATCATTTAACATCAATTTTATGAATCACTATGTGAATATTTTTTTTTTGTCTAGAATATTTTCTACTTTTATTTTTTTTAAATTAATTTCATTAGGTATTTTTACTATCTGAAACTTGCTTCTTTTGAATTCATCATTTAATATCTAATTAACATGAAAAAAAAAAAAAAATTCAAATATAGATAAGTGATTTGTAAATGAATTATTCAATGACTTTAGGAGAGTGTTAAATAATAAAAATAATAGAATTTATATAGAAAGATCTTAATATGTTAATTAGAATTTTGTTTTTAAAGTAAATATACATCTTACGCGATTAAACTACTAAGTATAAACCATTTCATTTTATATAACTTTTAAAATCTAATAATAAAATATATTTTTAACTTTATATATTTTATTATTTTATTAATTTCTAATTACAAGATGAAAATATGTAAAAAAAAAAAATCCTCAAAAATAATCAGCAAAATTTTTTCATTCATTATGATTAAAAACATCACTAAATAAAAAAAATTATCCTTCATCAATTACCATTAAGTCATAAATTGCATAAGATTTTTTTTCATTTTTCTTCAAAAAAAAAATTTCATATTACAAAAAAATTTTAGTGTACTGTAATAAAATATATATATGTATATATTAGAAAATGTACAATATGCATAATTAAACTTTTATTTATTTTAGATTTGTGTCTAATTAAATATTTAAAAAGGTCAATAATATTATTTATTTACCACAAATCTAAAATGTTTAAGTCTGCATGAATTTTAAACCTCACAAATATAGTACTTAGCTTTTATGTGTTTAAACATAAAATCTTGTCCATCGTAGTATTCTCCAAATATGAAAACAATTTAATATATTTCATTATTAACTAATTATTGAATATTTAAATTTTTACGAAAACAATTTAGGATATATATTAAATTATATGAATATTTTATAAATTAATAAATAAATTAATATTAGTAAAAATGTTGAGTTAACCTTACTTTAATTAAAGCATTGAAGATATTCTATGAAATAAGTAGCTTATTTTATGTTATACAGCATAATCATATAAAAATTATATATTATATGTGATATATATTTTAATAATAGGTAAAATTAGTATATACCACTTCACAAGATTCTAACTAATTTGATTGTTCGTTACCCTATAAAAGCCTTTTAATCGACAATGAGTTATATCATTAGTAAATAAAGTAATTGCATTTTCCTTTTAAATGAAGAAAAAAGTCAAATAAAAAAAATTATTCATACTCAAAAAAAAATTCCCATATTTATTTTATTTTACTTTTGTTATATTTCACTTTTTTTATTATTATTTTATACAAATAAAAATTATTTACCCATGAAATTTAATATTTACATTATGTAGATAGTAAAGATATATATATACCCCATTTGAGTAACTCAAAGATCTAGTATTTCTCAATTTATAAGTTTTTACATTATCACCAATATAAAGATTTTCAGTTTATATGCAGGACTTAAATGTCCAGAAAAAATTTATATTAATATTTGTGAGCTATAAATATAAATTCAAAATAGAAGTAAAATTTTAAAGTGTTCTATTATGTTATAAAATTAAAAAAAAAAAATGAAACTATTAAAATTTTATAACAATTTACAAAAAAAATAAAAAAAAACTTTGATATTATTGTAACTATCATCTTACAATGTATATATGTATATGTATATATAGATACATTTCCTTATGCTAAAACAAAATAAATTTTTTTAATTTAATAATATTTTTAATAATGAATATAACGCCACTGATTCATTAATAAAAAAATTATTAAGCTTATTTTAAATTGTTTAGGCTCCAGCAATATATATGTAAAAATAAAATTATATAAGAATTAGCATTTTCTCTATGTATTTATATCACATATATAATAAAATTTAAATAAATCTAAAAATTATATTATATTATTTCTTTTGTAATTTTTTTTTATAATTATGAATAATACTTATTAAAAGAGAAGATATCTAATAAAGATACTTTTTTTTTGATAAATATTTATAAAATTTTCTGAGAGTAATTAAAAAGTTTATTAATGAAATATTTGTATAATATTAAAAATTAAAATGTCAACAATATTTTCATCTATAGTATTTTACTACTTTCATTAATATATCTTTTTAACAAAAAATTTTAGGGTATCTTAATATTATTTTGAATAACAAAAACTTTTTATTATCTCTGAATTTTTTGTGAAAATTATAATATAATTTAATAAACTACTGATAACGATTTATATTAAAGAAAAAAAAAAAATGAATACAATAATTAGAAAAATGACAAATTTTTATATAATAAACGGAATAAATTTTCATTTGTATGAACTTTTTACATATGTATAAATGAATTTATAATAAATAATAGTATAATTTCAATGTTTATAGTTAAAAAAATTAGACATTTTTGGATGATATATATGCATATACACTATGCTATTTTTTCACCTTTATATTTATTTAAATTATTTCATTAATATCTGTATATATAAATTATGTATGATTCATCTTATAAAGTACATTAATAAAATCACTATAAATTTTCACTATGAATTTAACTTTTCCTTTATAGTTTTCATACTTTATGATATGTTGCAGAAATTATTGTACAAAATTATAAAAATTTTTATGCATTAGTGCATATGTTAAAAATTATGTTACACAATAATAAAAAAAAAAATTACTAAAAAAAAATAATTTTTTCATACATCCGTATATATAATTATCGATTTTTTTTAATTTTATAATTAAATAATAAAAAAAATACAGACTTAAAAAAAATCAATTGTATAATACTTTATTTTTTTTTCTTTTGTCTCATTTATAATAAATATTTTATGAATGACTATAAAATTTACTGGATCTAGGCACTTATTCGCCTTAATAATTTTAAATATTTTGTTAGATAAAGATGATAATGAAACTTAAGCTTCATTAATCACTGCGTAAAATATTTAATAAATAATTAAAGTATATTTAAAAATATTAGAACTATTTATAATAATTTAATTAAGAATGTGGTTTGTTATCATTAGGTTTTAGGGGCAAAAGTTTTGAATATCTTAAAGTTAAAAAATTCAAATCACTAATAAATCTCCCTATCCTTAATGCTGCATTATGTAATTTCTGTTCTGATAATTTAATTCCCATGGAATCTGCATACCTTTTAAGATGAGATACTATCAAGTTTACATCATCAATAACTTTTTTTTTTTCAATGGGTCCCTTTTTTTTACTAACCTCAAAAAAAGTTTCTTCAAACGCTTTTTGTTCCATCCAAAAAATGTTCTTTAATTTTAAGTAATAATCTTCCGTCATTTCTTGTTCTGCATAATAATCACGAAGACGATCACTTATTCTGAATGCCATGTGATCTCGGAATTCTTCTCTTAATATGTAGTCGCCACATTTCTTTCCAACTTCAACAATTTCCTTTTTTATAGAATCAAAATCTTTTAAAATTTCTTCCATTTCGTCAATAGAACATCCTTTTAGTTTATCTAAAATTATAATTGTGGTATCGAACTCTACAGTACTCACTTTCTTAAATTCCACATAATAACCATCACTTGGATCAAATTCATGTATTCCTTGTTTTATAGAAGGATCTTCTCCTGATGCACCCCTTACCATAGCTTGAAATAAATTATTCTTAAATAAATCCCTTATTAATGCATTGAAAACTAATAAAATAATATATTTCTTAATCATTTTAATAAATATGTAGATAAATAAATAATTACTTCGAGAAATACTTCAAAAAATTAATGTGTATATGTGTGCACTTCCGTAGCACAAAATTACTTTTACAAAAAAAATTTTAAATAAATAATGTATACTTTTTGAAATGTAAAATAATTATTTCATATTTTTTCAAAATTTTCTTTTAATTTCTTTAGTAAAAATACATCAAAAAATAATTAATAATTTATATTACAAAAAAATTACTTTATTCTTAAATTTTTTTTTTAGTTTGAATATTTAAAAAACCTAAGTTCAATGTTATTTTTATATATAAATCAACAAAATTTATAAAAAATTTTTGCTCACAATATTTTTATTTTTAATTTGCATGCATATCTAGCATATGAAAAATATTTTTTAGTAAACATTAAAAAAATTTCTATTACCGTTTTTCCTTTTTTAAAAAGCAAAAATACATTTTCTAAAGTGCAATGTTATAAATTTAAAAAAAGTGAATATATCAAAATTTTATTTACAAAGTTTATTTTAAATTATATTTTATGTAAATTTAAAAACATAATTCACATTGAAAAATATCATAAAATGTAATATGGTATATATGAAATTTAATCACAATTGTAAGTTCTTTAAAGTGAATTTAACCTTGAATTATTGTAGAGATGAAATAATAATTATTAATATGAATTTATTTTTATTTTGGATACTTTTAAAAAAATTAGAAATAAAAATGTAGATACATTAAATTTACTTACCAATTTTATAACAAGTTTAAGTTTTATTATTATATTTTTTATTATTAATAATTATATAAAAAATTTCAAAGTAAGTTCCATTTTAAAACTTTTTTATACATATTGTAACTATTGTATTATTTATAAACTATTATGAATAACATGAATCATTATGATAAAGAAAATATATAAAGAAAAAATAAAAGTAAATGGTATCCTCTTTATAAAATCAAAAAAATCCTTTAAGTCAATTTTCAATTATAATATCTTGTAAACCGTTTAATGTGTTGTTGATCAATATAAATATTAATTTTAAAAAGAATATGAAAGCTTATAAAAATTTGTTAAATATTATTTTTTTTTTTTTTATAAAGTAAAAAAATAAAAGTAAATGTAAATAACTTTCTTAAAAGCTTGGAAAAATAAAAAATTAAATAAAAAATGAAGTCTATTAATACATAATTATGAGCTTATTAAATTGAACGTTTATCATTCTTACATTGAATTTAGAGGTTAAATTTTATAATTTTTAAATTAAATTACTTATGACTTAATATCATTATTTATGTAACAATAAACCACTTATGTTTTATGAAAAATATAATACCTTTAATAAAATTACATTGTTTCAATATTTTTTTATTCATTTTATATTATTGTAATTAATATATTCCTATTTTTCTCGTAATTTTTTTTTTTTTTTCCAAAAATAAAATCTTTAATAAAAAAAGTTCGAATTTCTTTTTAAGCTTTAAAATGAAAAATTTCAATTCTTTTAAATATGAAAAAAATTCATATTAATTAAAATTTATTGTTAAATAGAAATAAATTTTTTTCTCTTGTTATTTTTATTTTTGTGATAAAATTGTATACTTTTAGGATTTCATTATTCTAATAACTATCATTTTACATAAATAAAAGATTAATATTTTATTCCACAAACCATGTTTATAAATAGTATCACAGTTTATAAAGCATTCTTTGGAGATACAAAATTAGAAATATGTATTTTTATAAATATATAAATATGCTTATTAAAGCTTAGGATAAACACCTTTTTAATAAAATTTTAAGTTTTACTTTAAATTAACATAATTGTAAATTTTCCATTACATATATACATATAAAATAATTACTTTAAGAAATAAGAAAAAAATATCCTTAGAAAAATATTGTTATCTAGTATTTTATTCTATTTAATATATTAGCATAATACATAGTATTAAGTTAAAATTTTTATTCCAATTTTTATTTATTTTCATTAATTTATTTCAATATAAACGAAACATTTTGTCTCACATTGAACTGTTGAATTTATGATTAAAAAAAAGAAAATTCTTTTATATAAAAAGAATAAGTTTAATAAAAGTTATAATTTTATAATCTTTTATAAATTAAAATTTTTTTTTTAGTGTAATAATTCATTATTACCAATGAAAAATATATGTTGACTGTTTTTAAGAATTTTATTTTTTTTCGAAAATCTTTTATTTAATAAATTTAATATAAAAAATTAAAAAATATATGAAGTTAAAAATATATTTTATTATTAGGTTTTAAAATTTATATTAAATAAATTTCATTATATTAATTATTATAATTCCATAAAATATGCCTTCTCTTTTAAATGTTAATTTATAAGTAGTAAATTTAATAGAAAGTGCTCTGCATGCTCTTTATGCTCTTCATTAATATAATTATGTAATATATAGCTAAAGTCATTTAATAATTAATTAGTAAATCATTTATATTTGATATTTTGATTGTACCTTTTAAGTATTTTCATTATATTAATATTTTAAATTTCTTAAGTATTTTTTACCCTTTCCTATTACTTTTAAGTACATTTTGTTGTGTATTATTTTTATTAGCTTAAGTGCAACTTTCTGAATTTTTCTAGATTATAAAAAAATTTACATAAAAAACACAAATGAATATATATATATATATATATATATATATAAAATATATATGTTTAGTTACAAATTTCGAAGATATTATAGATCTCAGAATGTATTAGTTTTAATTTTTGTACACCTACAAAGGCTTAAACTTTTTTAAGTTTTTTTTTTTGAAAATCTAGAAAATTTCAACTTAAACTATTTTTAGTCATATACTCTTGTAATATCGCTTGTATGTGCCTATTCTTAATAAAAGGTATTATTAACATTTTTGATATTAAATTTAATAGTTATGTGAAAAATATAAAATTAGCCATGAAAAGAATAGATGATAGTTGAAAACAATTTCCTTATAAAATTAATTTTATTTAATATTTTTAAAGAAAAATCTATGCTTTCAATGTTTTTATTTTTGTGTTTAAAATAATTATATAAATTTAAATATGTTTTTTAATACTTACTTATTTTTATTTATTTAAAAGCATTAATTTTGAATTTCTAAACTTTATTCGTAACATGGTAATTAAAATATATTTATTTAAAAATCTATGATTAATGGGGATCTGTGTTTTTAATAAAAATATAGGATTTTTATTAATGTAAATAAATGTCCCTTAAAAAAAGCAATAAATGTTCAATGAAATTTATAACATAAATACATCTTATTGGTTTGTAGCATTAATATTTTGTTTAAATTCATCAAACTAATAAAGGAAATTTTATATGCTCGTTATTAATTTATTTTTTCAAAACTTTAGTGAAGCCATTAAATTGTCAATTATTAAAACATATATATAATAAGGATGTTAATTTTATTATATATAGATAATTATATAAGAGGTATATATCTATTTACTTAAATTAGTTTTATAATACATAATATGGAAATTCCCCCACTTGCTCTTATTAATTCAACTATTTAAAATAATATAAAAGTCTGAATGAACATTTAATAAATCATTAAGGTAACTAGTTTATCATTGTATTATGTAAGTTATTTACATAACTTTTATAATAATTAGAGTCTCTTAAAAATGATTTAAAATGTTTCATTTATATAAGTCATTAAGACTCAATAATGTTTTTATCATATCTAACAAAGATATAACTCTTTTATGAACCATTACTTTTTCTAAGTACATTATACATGTCTGGTATATAATTGGTATTATAGACCTATTTTAAATGATATTTAAATTATCATTTAAGTAACTAAATTTTTTATTTTTTCTTGTTAAAAAAAGGGGAAAACATACACACATCCTAACAGCAAAAGTAAGTACTCAAAAAAAAATTTTTTTTTTTTTTTTTTTTGTACTTACATTAAGTATAAAATAAAAAAAAATTCTAAATTCTTTTTGCATGACGCTTACTTAATAAAAAAAAAAAACTACATAAAAAATGAATACTCAAATAGATGATAATTTCTTTTTACTTTTCATACTTTTTATATAACTTCTTAAAAAAAAAATTATTTTATTTTTTTTTCTTTATTGTATGAAATTTTTAAAATGTAAAAATGAAGTGCTTCTCCTACAGAGAATTGTGTAAATTAACTTAAATAATAAAAAGTTGATATTTAGTATAATTTATAAAATAATAATAATTTTATAAAATATTTTTATTTTTTAATATAAATTGAGGACAGATTTTCTACAAACCTTTTAGCAATCTTTCTAATACTAGAAAAATTACCGAGCATTCAACAAATGTCTTAAGTGATTCAAGCTCCTCTACATTTATATCTAAATAATTATCTTTAGATTTTTATATATTTTTCTCAATACCTTAAAATTCCTATTTTTGTTTAAATGATGTCATCAATCTACACAATTACATAACTTTCTTGAATTTGGTATATAAAAACATCTTTAATTATTTTTTGAAATTGTTTAGAAACAGTTATAATACGATCAGCAATAATTACATCCAAATATTTCACCCTTAGATATAATAAATCCAGTATGATGTTTTCAATTTTCTTCTAACAAAATATTCCAAAATATGTTTTTAAGATTTATGTTATAAAACTATTTAGTACAATAGAGTGTTTGACATATATGCTTCATATGTGGTAAAACATATAAATAATCTATTATATACTTAAATTCCAATAATATAAGTAATTATCCAATGGAAATCCTTTTTACAAACCAACATCATAGATGAAGTCTTTTTTGCACTATCAAATATACTTATAACATGTGTGTCCACTATTTCGTCAATTTCCTTATATACTTCTGTTAATATTTCTTTTCTTAAAAACATAAAAATATATATCTAATTTTTTCTCTGAATTTCAATCTTCTTTTTAATCCATTCTTATTATCTTGGGGTGTTAAATCATTTTTGTTGATAAAATTTTGAATAATTTTTTGATTAGCCTTTTTTGAACTCTCCTTTTAACCTTAACTTACATTTATATATATATAATATTCATGATTTTTCATGATACAATATCTTAATTAGTTATTAAATGACCGATTAGAATAAATGATTTTTCCACCTTTATAATGGAAAAATTTATCCTAGATTTTTTATTAATAGATTATGTACGAATAATAGTCTTTTTAGATATATGTGATTTTTTTTCATTGAATATTCAATAAATTTTAACTGATGAAACTTTTAAGTCATGTTCTACAATGAATTCCTCTGCATATGAAGTAGATATAAAATACAATTCATCTATGTTATTTAAAAAAACATGCACTTTCTTTTCGTTTATTTCAACTATTTGTTTAGAATTTTCACGAAATTTTTTAACGTTTTTATCATTTTATAATTTATTAACAGATAATTCATATTTCTTACTTCTTCTATATCTTCTTTATACTCTATTATTTTCTTTAACTTTTTATTCTAAGATAAATTATTTATTTATTTTTTAACAATTTCTTAAAGAATGCAAATATATTTTTATCCATCATGTATAGATAACATTAACATTCATTTTATCCATAAAAAAATATATAAAAATAAAAAAAAAATTTAGAAAAATATTTTGTTTTAATTATTTCTTTTTCAATAAAAATACCTTAAGCTATATTACTGTTTTTATCAGTAAAAATTTCTTGTGAATAGATATTTTATACTTTTATTAATACAATAAAATTACACATAGAAAAAAGATACATCTTTTTGGAAGAATTATTTTCGATTATATTACATATACCATCAATTTCGCCTATTTTTAACTAATTTAATGTAAATGCATATCTAGAAATGTATATATTTCATTTTATCAAGGAAAATTTCATTGTCTTTTTAAGATTTATTAAATACATTTCCATATAAATAACATAATTAGAAAATTAATAGCTCTCGTTAGTATCATTTGGAAAATCTCCTAAGAAATCTTCATCTCCCAATGACAAACATGTTAATATATTTATTACTAATAAAAAATTTTAAAATTTTTATATCATTATAAAATATACTAAGATATAATTGTCTTATTTATGATAAAAGTAATGTTATCAATTAGAAATAAACTTCCTTTAAAGTAAAAGTATACTTTTAGTTAATAAAACTATTTATATAATAAAAATTTGAATACTATTAATTAGAGAACGAATTTTTTTATATTTCATAAAAAAATTTTTGTTTATTATAGCTTACATATTTTTTTATTTTCTCATTTTAATTAAAAGCATCTTTAATAGAATTATTATTTAAAGAAACAACTTCTTTTATAGTATTTTCAGGATAATGTAGATTCCATATATTTGAGCGTGATATTTATTTATTATTAAAAAGTATAATATTAAATTATCCACTTAGGTTTTACGAGAATAAAATAAATCTCATCATAATATTTTTGTTGATCTATAAAATTCAAGTGGAATTACTTTGTAGTATGCTTAGATTTAATTTTAATAATTATTTTTATATCAATAAAGAATATATATTTTAGCATTTAGTGTTAACAAAATGTAAAATGAACAATGTGTCTATTATCATATAAATAATGTCTAATAAAATTATATCATATATTATTATTTTTGTTAGAAGAAAATTCGTAAAAAAGTAATAAATTTCAACATATGTAAAAGAACAAAATAATAAAGTAAATAAAGTTTTTCTTTTTTAAAATATTGTACTGAACTAAAAAGAGTGTTTAACAAAACTAAAAAATTTAATTATCATTTTATATTTTATGTTTTTAACAAACTATATTGATATTTTTTATTTTATTTCTTAAAAACTTATATTTAAGTAAATACGAAATTATATTCTTATATTCCTATAATAAATAGTAAAGAAATTATTCTTTTTATTTTTCCACTGATATTCATTTTAGTAAAAAATAAATGAACTATGAAAGTATAATATATATGTCGAATATTTTTCCTTTAAAAATTATATAAATTAACACATTTATTTCAGAAAATAAATTAAAATGCCATCATCTTCATGAAAAATATTTTTTTACTTTCATTATCCTTATGTGTAAATTATATCATTAATTTTTACATGTATATATAACTTTACATTATTACGTAAACAATTCAATATTTCGAAAAGAAAAAAAAATTGAAAAATAAAAATTTTAAATAATAATAATAATAATAATAATAATTAATCTTTAATTTTATAAAGGGTTTTTATTCTTATGAAAAATAATTTACAGATTTCCTTTATAAAATATTATTTTTTTTATTAAATATTATTTATATATAATTATCTTATTTTCAACACACTTAACACATTTCCATATCCTAATAAGTGTAAATGAAAAACATATTACATGTGTTATATTTAAAAAAAAACTAAATGAAATAATATAATTTTAATGCAATAAAAATACAATATAATAGAAACTGAGCATTATAAGCAAAATTTATGTAAAATTTATAGTTTTTTATTTATGGAATTTTTTTCTCATTAAATCTTTGAATAATTTTTCTAAAATGAATATTTAAATTATTTTATTATTATAAAAAAGAATGCTTATTCATCTGTTATTTATCAATAAAAAATATATATGTATTTTTTTTTTTTTAAATATAAAAAAAATTATTTATGTTTATTTTTATTATAATAATAAAGTATTTAGAATAACAAATTCAATTTATTATAAGTTAATAAAACTATTTTAAATTATTTTTTTTTTTTATATTCTATCTAAATTGATATATTTATATTTTAAAATAAAACATAATGTAATGTTATTTCTGAGTATTAAGAAGTTCTAGATATTTTTTTTCATTTTATTTTTTAAACATAATTTAACATAAATATATGTAAGAACATATTTAAAAAAAAATAGTATAAAAAATGAGTATTTATAAAAGAAATTTAAACAATAAATTTGTTACTAAATAGAAGACATTTTTTATGTTATTTATATAAAAAAAAAAAAATGTTATAAGGTGTTGTACGTATAATATACATATGAGATATAATTGATTCACATATATTTCCAGAAATATAATTTTATTAAATAAAACACAATTTCTGTTAATCATCATAAAATGGAATATTTTTACTTAATAATTTATTACAACTAAAACTTTATAAAAAAAATTTAAAAAAATAGAAATAAACTAACAAAAAATTATATTGAATTTTTGATTAATTCTAAAATTATGACATTTGAATATTTAATGTTGTATATATTAAAAAGGGGGAAGGTTATTCTATATATATTTATATATATAAAGAAAAGTATTTTAAAATATAATATATATATAATATTTATTGATTTTTAACAAATATTTTATGACTTTTTACTTATTTATAAAAAGGATGAAGAAAATAAGAATTATTGAAAAAATTGAAGTTTATATATAATTTTTTTTTTTACACTTGTAAATATATTTAGCCATTTAATTGCTTATTACATTATATTCATAACTTTAAAGTTTTAATTAACATCATAGAATAATTAAATATATTATATATTGTTTAAATTAAAATTAATTTTATCTATGTTTGTTCAATATTTCATAAACTAAATTTAATTTTTTTTTTAATAAATAAATTATATATAATATTAAAAACACTATAGTAATGAAAAAAAAATTATGAATTGTTTCAATATTTATTAATATAAATAATTCTTTGCTTTTATTAAAATGAAAAAAGTGTTTTTTTATGTTTCTTATAGCCAGGAGAAAAATATTTTATTCTAACTTCTAATATAACAATAGAAATTCTATAAAAATTATTAGTTACTTATTTTTATTTTATTACTATATATATTAAAGAAAAAATCAATAATTATTAAAGAAAAGTCTAATATTGATTATAAAAAAAATGAAATAGAATTATCCTTTTATAACATATCCTTGTTTATTTAACTAAACAAATGGATCCATTAAAGTATACAGGATCATATGTTTTTCTAAATATTTAGATATTTTCATTTAATAAATATATAAATGAAAAGTATATCGAGCATTGTCATGCGCATCGTAATAGAGGAGTAAATTCGTCTTTGTTTTTAAATTATATTACTTTGATTTTCATTATTTTCACTTCTATTCAGTTTAAAATAGTTGAAATATTCAAGTGTGCAACTAGTCTGTGTGTTATAATAAATAAAAAAAAAATTAGCCATAAACGATTTCAAAAAAATTTATCTAAAATTGGAAAAAGAAAAATATCCAAATTATAGTAAAAAAAAAAAAAAAAAAAAAATTCATATAAAAATAATATTAAAAAATATAAAGTGAAATTATTATCATAACTATTTTTTATATTTCTTAAAATGGAAAATTCAAAAATAATTTATTTATTTTATTTCTTAATTGTTAATAATTTGTTAACATCATTCTTGTCACTAGGGAATGATATTCCAACAGATATTCCGAGTTATGTAAAAAATTTTTTATATGATTTTAATACTTATAGTTTATCTAAGCATCTAGAATTTATTAATTTTAAGTATAATCTCACGAGGGTTATTCTAAATGAATATGATATTAGTTCTAATTCCAAAAAAAAAATGTTATTAAATAGTAAAAATAAATTACGTGATATTATCAATAATATATTAAAAGAAAAAAATTTTTATTTGTCAGATAATCAATTAAAAGACATAATTATATTCATTAGTAATGAATTAAGGAGATCAAAAATAAAAAGGTCACAAGAACAGGAGATTGAAGATATTGAATGTGAAAAAAGTAAAGCATATTTTTATTTTTATAGGGATGATAAATTAGAACAAATTCTAAACAACATGAAACATTTTTGGAGCACTAGCGAATTAATCAATGATAAAGATCCTATGTGGAAAAACGAAAAGTGGAATTTATGGGATTATAATTTTAAAAGTAAAGTGTATAACTTAAAAAAAAAAGATTCTATGTTTTTTTTGTTATTAATTCAAAATAATACACCTGGAAAAGTGTGTCATAGTATTTACAAATATTTAGAAACCTCATGGTTAGAGAGTTATCGTGCTCCATTTATGTCAGATTTCTATTATTTTGTTTACGAGTCTTTGGAAGAACTAAAAGAAAAAAAAGACACAAATTAAGAAAAGAAAAAAGAAAAAAAAAAAATGATATAATATATTAATATAAAAGGAAAAAGTAAGAGAATGCTTATTTTTCAATATTATCATATATAATGATACACTTGCAACACAAAAAAATGTAATTATAAAAACCATGAATAATATAATTTTTAATATGAAAAAGGAGAAATAATAATGGTATAGAAAAAATTTTGAAATGTGTTTTAAATATATGAAAATTAATTTGAAGGACATATTATATTTATTAATTTATATATATATCAATAAGAACAAAATTTAAAGAATTTTTTTATAGTTTAACATCCATTTCATACTATACAACTTTTTTTTTTTTATTTACAAATTCGCTACATTAATAATAAAAAATTATTTTTTTTTTTTTTGTTAATCTTTATTTTTTTCTTAAAAACTGTTATTAAAGTTTTATATTTTGTGTTTCCTAAAATTATTTTTTCATTTTTTACATAATTTTTTTTTTAAATATATATAAAAATGTATATTAATATCTTATATAAATTTGTATTATTGATGCATTTACAGTAAACGAGAATTCAGTTTTAATCAAAACTTAAATTAATATCAATTCAAATAGACTCAATAATCTAAGCTTTTACTTAATGAATTTTTATTTAGATTTCAATATAAAAAATATTTTGTAGTAAGCTAAAAAAAAAATGAGTATTATGTTATAATTCCTTTTTTTTTTTTGGTAAAAAGATTTTTCCTTATAAAGTATATTTAGTATATATAACTACGAATATAATAATAGGATATTTTTTAGTATAAAAATTTTCTTAGAAAGAAGTAAAAAAACCACTAAAAAGATAAAATATTTGTTAAATTTAATTTACTATTTATAGATTTAATGCATTTCCTTTAATTAAATAGAAATTATTTCATTTTAGCATTATTAGATTTTACATTTTTATATTAATTCATTCCATATATATATATAAATAGTAAAAATATAATTTTAGAATAAACTAATAAGAAATTAAGTAAAATTTTCTTTATACTTAAGCTCCTTTAACTTTTTACTAAATAATTTTGACTTTTTTATTATATTAAATGGTTTTTTTATATTATTTTATTATGTAATATGAATTTTAAAAGTTAAAATCTGTGTCAATAATTAATATAATAGGCCTATTTTCAAATATAATAAGAATGATTATGAACTATATTCAACTTTATTAGTTCATGTAAAAATTGAGAAGGAAATTCGTACAATGAAACCTACATACTAGAATGCATGAATCTAGCTAAAGTATGAATAAGAAAAGAAAAAAATGAGATAAGCATATGTATATCAGAGATCATTTTATTCTATTAATTTTTTTTTCTTAGAAATCATATCTTAAAAAAATATTTACAATTTTTTTTATGTGTAAAACACATAATATAATATATATATATATATATATATATTTTATTATTATAATGGAGGATACTATATTTTAGTGTTTAATTTTAAATATATTAATATTATTAATTAGATAATAATATAATATTAAAAATAAATAATAAATGTAGAAATTATCTTATAAAACATTATAAGATATAATAATATTATTAAGTTTGTTTTTAATAAATAAATAGAGATATCTCTGCATTCTCTTTATTGAGTGTTTATAATGCTACAAAATTACTCTAAATCCAATTATAATTCAAATATGAATCCTTTATATTGTAAGATTTCTTTTAATCTAGAAAAATAAAATTTAATATACAATTAAATTGAAATATTTTCCTTATATAACAGGAATTTTTACTTCATTTTTTTTTTTATTATTAATATTTAGTTTGTATATTATATCACTGTTTTAGTTAATATTTAATTAATGTAATACTTAAGAAGCATTTAATTGATGTATCTTTAGAGCATCCTTTAAATATTATTTCATATTTATTTTACTTTTAATTTAAACTGAAACTTCATTTGCATCTACTTTCACTTAAATTTACATATTTGACCAATAAGGAACATTATTACCTTTTTAAATACCTTACAAGATATTATTAAACACATTTAAAAATAAGCTGTAAACATATGACACTTAAAAAAATAATTTAATAGTCAAGATAAATTATTATAGAGTATTCACACCAAAAAAGGAAAATTATTTTTATATAAATTTTTCTTTGTTATTATTTTTGTTTATAATTACTTCTTTTTTTTACTATGATGATAAATTTTTACATGAAAATTAATAGATAAATTAGTAGTGATAAAAAAATATTATTTTCATTAATGATCAGAATTAATTATGATGAAAGAAAACATACTAATAAATTATTAAATGCTTGTAGATCTTGACTATTTAAGTTTTAACAAATATAAGTAAAAAATTTCATTAGAATATTTAAAAGTTTTATAAATTCGAGCATTTAGGACAATAAAAATAATAAGTAAATGTTTTTATTTATAGTATTTTAAATGTAATATTTAGTGATTTTCATATTTAACATTACGTGATATAATAATATAAGGACTGTGCATTGTTTATTAGGTATATTTTTATAATAAATAATATTTATAGAGATCATTATATATTCTTTTTATTAGTTTGTTCAACTCTATACAAAAGTTTTTTAACGAACAATAAACAAACATTCATTTTCATCAATTTATCCAACTATTTCATTTAACTTAAAAATTTTCTTTATTACTTACAAAAATTTATTTATAATAATTTTTATTTTAGATAATAATTATATAAAAAAATTAAATTATCATCATATTCAAAACAAAATACAAAACTTCATTTTCTTTTTTTCTAGATTAATTTTTTGACCATTAAATGGCTATTAGTATGTATTTAATAAGAAAATATGTAGAGAGCATATAGAACAATATCTATTTATTATACTAATTATAAAATAACATTTAAAGAAAATATATATATACAAATTAATAAATACACTTAATATGAAATAACTAACATAAGTCATATAACTTTTAAAATTTATTAATAAGGCATGTATATCATCTCAATATAATTTATTATTCTTTTAAGTTCTAATTAACTAATATAAATTTATATAATTTAATAATAAAAAACTCTAAAAACAGTTAAAAAACAAGTATATTTTCAATTTAACTTAATTAATACCTAATTATATGTAAAAGTTATAATTTATCAAAAACATTAATTTTTTTTTTTATAAAAATAAATTACACTTTATGTTCTTAAATTTTTTTTTTTTTTTTTAAATTTGGAGATAAAAGAATTTTTTTTCTAATACAAAAAAAAATGTCTTAAAAAATTATATATTATTAAAAATCTTACATACATAATTGAACATCTAGCTATGTTGAATTTTGTTCATTAAATAGTATTATCTATGTCTTTTTAATTACAGAGAAAATAAATTTAAAGTATGAAATTCCTATGTATTTAAGGGATATGAATAAAACAAGAATATTAAATTATACGTACTAGAGTGTACGAATTTTAAATAAGTGCATTAAAAATATATACACTGTATTACACCTTTTGGTACCTAAATGATAATTCATTTAGTCTTTTTTTCTTTTTTTTGAAATATGATTTATTAACTGTCCTTTTGAATATTTTTACAGTAATTTAACGCAGCCAAACTAATAAAGAAAATATAAAGAAGTCTCCACTAAATTATTACATAATAACCTTAGATAATTATATTCCCTCATAATTATTTATATATTATAAAAAAAAAAAATTTATTTTATATATTATTTTTTTAATTACATTTATAAGTAGTTTTTGTTACAAGCTGTTATCTCTTTAAAAAAAAAATTATCTTATTTTTTTCTTTGAAAAAAATTTAATTTTCAAAAAAAAATAATTTTTTTTTTACAAGTGAACACACATTTTTTACATAATTTTTTTTTTATTACATACATCTCTGTAAATAAATCTTTATAGTAGCATTATTATAATTATCCATATATGCAAAATCTTATCATACATATCTTTATAAACAAATTTTTAAGTTCATATATTTCATACTCTTGAATCTCTTATACATAATCATTTTCGTTATGTTAAAATTTTAAAAAGATTGATGACATCTTTTACTGATCACATATATGCAAAGAAAATTTTCATAAACACTAATAAAAATGATCCTAAGAAAAAACATATATATTATCCTCAATTCCCCTATATAAATAGCTAAATATCTCTCTATATTAGATCTATGGATCATAAAGAATTTTATTTTTAGAATTATAATTTGTTCATTTGTTAGATTAATTTATGTGATAACTGTGTAGTTTATTTCTGTAATTCTACTTTGTCTATTTATTTTATAGAACCTTTAATATTTCTTTTGATTTTTCAATAATATGCAATGAAGTTCAAAAAAAGAAAAAGCAAGTTGCAAATATATTATTTTTACTATATAAAAAATATGTTATTTTTTTTTTTTAATTGAATTCCATAATATTCCTTTTGATAATAAATCCTTGCAAAATTGAAATACGCTATAAATAAAAAGAATAACACATATTGTAATAAAATATAATAAAAATAAGAAATTAATTTTTTTAAATAGATTTTAATAAATTTAGCTTTCAATAAAGAAATAAAAAAAATTAAATATTCATATGCAATATTATAATTATGTTAAAATTTTTAGCTTATATATTTTTTTATGATTTAAAAAAAAATTTCCTTTAATTAACTAAAATACTATAATTATCATCTTTACTTTTTAACACAAATAAAAATTTTATGTTGTAATTAATTAAAGGTTAAAATTTTCTTTTCTTATAAGCTAAAAAATATTATAAAATGCATAAATATTCCTAGATCTATAAAATGTTTATACATTTGTATTTTTATATAATAATGATTTATTAATTGGTTATTTAATGACTTTTAGAAAATATTGAAGAAGAAAATAAAAAAATTATGTAGAATAAATTTAACTTATTTTACTAATTATGAAGTAATCTATATAAAAATATATATATATGTCCGAAGTAATTAAAATACTTAATATGAAATAACTAT